GATATTCCAGTAATGAAGTAGAAAAACAACTCACGAATGTTGACAAACTCAATCGCTCGAATCTACTAAATTATAAAAAAAATAAAACGCGATGTGATCGTATTCCCTTTGTGTTGACCTATTCAAAATGAACGTTGCTTATTGAATTTTTTGTATAAAGTGTGGTAAAATAGTGTATGTCGGAGAAACTGGTGATATTTTATATCAAAGACATGTTTTGAATTTGTCTTTAATTAGAAAAGAAATATATATATGATCCTGTGGCTACTCATTTTAATTCAGGTGTACATACAGTAGAAGATTATAATATAATAGGCATTGAGAAACTGTATCAGAATGACATTTACTGTAAATATAGAGAAAATCTTTGGAAGAAAAAGTTGAACACCTATAATGTACCATTTGGTATCAACAAGAGGGAACACTTCTGTCTTTGATTTGCATTTATAAACATTTGTATGATATCGTGATACTTATTTTTAGAGATATACATTACATTTATATATATATATACTTTGATATCATCCTTTTGATATACCCCGTATGTTAGTATTTTATTTTGTATGATAAAAATTGTGATTGTGTGGCTATCTAGGCTAGTCAAAAAACTTGCTTTCGATGCCGATGGATTCTCACAGCGCTGCATCATACTACATGGTCATTGAGAATAGAAGTGAGATACAGTTATTTGGACATTAGTTTTAGCAAGTCACTTCCCTAGATAGCCGACCGGTCTAACGCGCTGTTCCTGTATTGCTAGGAGACAGATTCCGTAGGTCGAGAGTTCAACCCCGGGCTGAGGCGGAAGTGGGTATCCTGATGCAATTGAATTTCTTTGTGCTTTCTATATTAATATTTCCTCACTTAGGGCAGTTATATTAGTTTAAAATGTTGTAAATTGTGCTTTATAAATAAATTAATTTCATACAACGTGTATTGGTAACAATCCGTTAATAAAACTAATGTACAAATAACTGTATCTCACTTCTATTCTCAATTACCATGTTGTACAGAGCAGCGCTGTGAAAATATATTGTAAATTTCTCTGAAATGTAGCTAATGTGTTTAAAATACTGATTAATTTTGATATAATTACAATGAATTTTGTAGAATTGAATTCAAAATGAAAGATTTTATATTTTCACTTTCCCGTTTTTGTAATCAGAGCTGCTACGTGTCGATGCTTTGACCAAATAGTGTTTTGTTTATTGTACTTCAATTTGAAAGTGATTAATGGATTTGGAGTAGAAATATTATTTCTTTCGTTTGCAGAACGAATTAGACAGAAATCAATTTCTACTTGGCGTTGTAATGAATTTTTTTTCGGAATTACAATGTTTTCATTCGAATACCTGGTGGATATTACATTTTGTCCGTCGTCCGTCTGTCCGTCTGTAAACTTTTCACATTTTCGACTTCTTCTCAACCCATCGGCAAATTTAACCAAACTTATTTTAAAAAAGTATCCTTTGGTAAAGGGGAGTTTTAATTGATAAAATGAAGGACCAAGTCCCCTTACAAGGGGAGAAATCAAGAAAAAACAAAAATAGGGTGGGGTCATTAAAAAACCTTCTTCTCAAGAACTACCAGGCCAGGAAAGCTTAAACTTATGTGAAAGTATCCTTGGGTAGTGTAGCTATAACATTATTAAAATCATGACCCCCGTGAGTTGGGCAAAGAAATAATAATTCAATTTTTACATATAAATATATAGATCAAATCTTGAAAAATCTTCTCAAGGACCACGGGGCTAGGAAAGCTGAAACCTATTTGGAAGCATCCTGGGGTAGTGTAGATATTAAATTGTTAAAATAATGACCCCCGGGGAAAAACGGGGCCAAAATAGGGAATCCAAGATTTTTTATGTAGAAATGTATAGAACAAATCTTTAAAAATCTTCTTCTCAAGAAATATTGGGCCAGGAAAGCTGAAACTTATTTGGAAGTATTCTTTGGTAGTGTAGATATCAAATTGTTAAAATCATTCCCCCCAGGGTTAGGGCTGGGCCACAATAGGAAATCCATTTTTTACATAGAAAAAGGATGTATTCACTATGACAAAGGAATTAACCTATAGGAGAGAACAATATCCCGGAAAAGGTTACATTTAAAATTTAATCTTTATTTGTAGTTTTCTACTGTATATATGTCTAAATTTTTCAAATTTGTATTTTATACTTAATATTTATTATTTACTACTTTACAATAAACCTCCAAAGTTGGCCAAAACACTATTTTGTCCATTAAAGCATTGATTTCTGCATGTATTTTGGCCTAGAAGTCCTTCAGGACAGGCCTGCCCCTAAATAAAACTGTGATATTTGTAACGAATAATTTAAGATAGGATTTTTTAGGGGCACCCCTGCCCTTGGGTCGAAATTCACACAAAAACCTACAAAAAATAAGGAAACCTGATTTTGATAATCTGCTTAAAATTTATGTCGTGCAATTTTATAGTCAGACTAGCTCAGTTGATATTTGCGCCGACTATTACACTATCGATACTTTCTTTTTAAAGTCAGGGGATCGACTCCACCTTGTACCACACTTTTAAAGTTTTAATATTTCGCCTATTCAAAGACTATTTTAATTTTTTTTTCTAGACTTGTGCATTTTCTTTCAAATATCTATTTTTTTACATGCCCATGTTTGATATAAGAAACACTAAAGAGAGATCAGATCGTAACAATCCAATGTATAGTTGTCAGTCAGGCGGAACAATATAAGCACACTTGTCCGAGGACAAGAATAGTTCACTTTGTGTCACTCGATACAGGTACATGTATTCTTGGCAGCATTGAGCTGCGATGAATTTCATTCATATATATTTCTTAGAATTTAGTCACATTGGCTTTCGCTGCATATATCAGTAACTATTTTCCTTGGATTTCATTTAGGTCTATATAATTTGCACACATTAATGGCATGTTTTATTATATCCACGGATAAATAGCCTAGACACAAAGAATAGAATGTCAAAGACAGTAGACATTACCATTATGCACAATAAGAAGTAAAGAAAAATATCAATTATTACATGTACATGTACATTTGGAGAAAACAAACTAAAAAAATCAATGAAAAGGTGCCTCGAGCTCCTAACTCTACTCAATGAGATAAAGATTTAGGAAAAACAAATTGTTATATGTATTCAGTCATATGTCATTAATCAGAACGGAAATCAACACGCTTTTTGTAGAGAATAAAACCAAGTCCGGTCCTATAGGTCAGATCCCTGTTTATAATGAAGTGATCCTTTAGGAAAAATCTTTTAAGAATCTTTTTTTTTTAAAAAAACACTGGGCCAGGAAACCTAAAATTAATTTGGAAGCATCATTGGGTAGTGTAGATTCTAAAGTATTACAATCATGATAGGCGAGGTTGAAGGGGGTGCGATAGGTTTAGCAAGAGGGAAGATCTGGAAAAGAAGTGCATCATTCATTCAAATCATGACCTCAGGAGTTGGGGCAGAGCCACAATGGGGGATCAAAGTTTTACATGAAACATATAGGACAATATCGTTGAAAACCTTCTCAAGAATAGCACAGCCATAATTTGTCTTATTTATATGGAAAAATCCTCAGGTGATGTAGATTCAATTTTTTTAATCATGACCCTGGGGAAAGGGTGAGACCAAAACGGCCTCACTCTATCCCAAAAGTCATAATTTGAAAAAAAAAGATATCATAGAAATATGTAGAAAAATATTATTTAAAATCTTCTTCTCAAGAACATATAAGCCTTGATTTGTCATATTTATATGGAAGCATCCACATGTTGTGTAGATTTAACTTTGTTTGAATCATTACTCCCAGGGGTAGGGTAAGGGCACAACGTTAACGGTTGACCAAAGTTTTATATAGAAATACATGTTTATATGAAAATTCTTAAAAACTTCTTTTCTTAAGAATAGTAAAGCCATGATCGATTATATATTAAATAGCCGTTTCCAATTGTTATATCCATATGAAAGCATCATCATTGAGTTTAAAACTTCCCCCCAACCCCCATCCCCAATTCAAACTTTCCGATGCTAAACTGATTTCTGCTTTTTTTTTTCTTACCCATTGTGCTCAGGTGAGCGATGTAGCCAATTGGCCTCTTGTTTAATCTGGTTTTGCTTAGGGATATTTTTAATTCAAAGCTTATGGATTTTTCATCATTCATGTCCAAAAGAAAGAGGGCGTATAAGGCGTGTACAATCCCCCGCTCTGAGACAAAATGTTTCTCAATTTCCAAAATCACAGAAATGTTATATTTTTCTAAAATCAAGTTCATAGTAATGTCATCTTCAAAACATTCTATTATTTCATTTAAATGAACGACTTATTTTTTTATAAACTTTTTTTCAAAGTTGACATTTAAGCATATTTAGTGGAAAATGGGTTTACTAAAGCTATAAAAAAATGAATTTTGAACATGAATGGGTCTCGTTTCCATTCCTCGTGAAAATATAAATGCGAAATTTATTTCATTTGTACAAAAAATGGAATCTGAACCCATTCTATATGAAAATCGAACTTTTCTGAAAAAAATTACGCTTCAACAAACCCGTTCATTTAAATCACACTGAAAGACATCAATAATTCAAATACTTTGTAGCGTAGTGGTTAATGCGGTTGGTCTTGGACCAAACCTGCGCTATGGAGTGAGTTTGAATCATACGTGAAGCTTTTCCTTTTTATGTTTTCAAATGTCTTAAAAACATGAGTGAAAAATAAATTATTAAAACAATGAAATACAGAATTTGATGTGAAAAAATGATATAAACCATAAAATTTTGAAAAAATACTACTTTTAGAATTCAGAAAAGTCTTTTTTCAGAGCGGGGGATTGTGCTCGCCTTGTACGCCTCCATTCTTTGCATACAAATTGAGCATATGGCGATACTGTTCATAAGGTCTGTTTGCATTTTAAGCATTTTTTAAAGATGAAAGTAATTTAATTATTCAAAAGCAGGAGACGTATACTATGTTGCTTTTTAAATCAAGGATCAAAATGAAACTGTCCATTAAAATCTAAAGAATATAATTTTATATTGATATAAATAAATGACACAATGTTGTGTATGCTTTTTGTTTGACATGAGTAAAATATTACAAGTCAGGATTGAACATACATCAACTTCATTTAACTGCGTCTTATGAACATGGCAGTCTTTTGCAGCGCTTCAGTACTTTTCCAGTGGCTCCACACCGGGTATTTCCAATCAGACAATGCAGACTGGGCGTACACTCCGTTAAGGTGTGAGTGATGACAACCTGAATGATACCACCAGGCTCCATGCCAATTTGTAGCACAGCTTTGACTATACCTATCGTTGTCTTGATCTTTAGTGCTGAATTTACTACCACTGTGACTAGTCAAACTGTCTCCTTGAAATGAATATTAAAAACATTGAATTAAATTCATTGCTGATCCAAAACAAATAATTAGAAAGGTAAAACAAATGTCATGAATGAGACAAATATTAATTGAAGTAACGCTTCCATGGTGTAAAAGTATTACTTTCTTGATAGGTAGCCTATCGCTATATCAAATAGGTAATATATATATATATATATATATATATATATATATATATATATATATATATATATATATATATATATATATATATATATATATATATATATATATATATATATATATATATATATATCACATAAAAAAGAAACTTATCAACAAAAAGGAACATGTCATGAAATTTTAATCTATAAAATTAGTATATGTTTCCGATCATTTAAACTGTGTCAATATTACTATAATTTGGAAATTGTTATCAGATATATGCTGAACATCATATAACAGAATAATGTGTGAAAATTATATAAAGGCTTTTACCTGCTGTTCCTGAATACCCCGACAAGGTGAGTTTGTATTTACTGTCTTCATCCCCGACATAAAATGTGGAGTACTGAGCGTATGCTTTGTCACCATTAAATCTTTGTAGTTCAACCCGGAGTTCCTGGTCCTTGTTCTTTGTCAACTCATACATTGCATCATTTCCTTTGTCAAAGAAATAGAAGTGCATTTTTTATATTTAGTGTAGAGCGTTTATGTTAACTGCGTGATTGACAGTACTATCTTCATTATCGAAAGACATCAACTTCAAAATTATCAAATGTCTTAATAATTGTGTAAATAAAACACTTCTATACGAAATGCAAGTACAACATGAAAAAACACTATCTTCTACTGCAAACGTTTTTACTTAAATGTATGCACATCCATCCAGATGGATATGGAGATAACGAACAGTATTCAGTTTCAAATCTATAAAACAATACAAAACAATAACAGAGCAAACACGGACCTCCGAAACATAAAAGGTGGGATCAAGTGCCATGGAGGAGTGAGAATCCCCTGCTGACCGGTCACATCTGCCGTGTGATCCTTGTCAGGAAATACTGGAAAATCCGTCGTCAATTTAGTGTATAAATAATGGACTAACGATTGATATGAAAAATGTCAGTCAGCATTTGACTCTATGATAAATTGTATTTGCTGACAAGGTCATTGTATCAACCATAGAACTTACAAGATAATGACTTGATATTCCTGTTTCATCAATTGCTTATTAATAATTTACCTCGTTTTAAAAATTGTTCGTACTTAGAGCATGCTTTTGTGTATCAAATCAACTGAGATATATACACTCCGTATGCAGGTGATGAAGTTACATACAGCATAAGTGAGGGAAGTTGACGATAGAAAAAACAAGAAATCTGTAAGCTAATGCTCACTAGGAATACCCCCGCTCTGATGTGAACAAACGCTATCATGCAAATATACACAAGTTCCATTACGGACAAATGCACAGATAAACAGGAAGTTGACATCAGATTCATATCAAAATTAATCCAACCATATGGCATGCCTCAACAAAGAGTATACTAAAATTTCAAGCATCTGCTATGATTGGTTGATGAGAAAACTGCGACAAAATATTTGTTATGTATGAAACGGACAGATGCAAAAACAAACAGGAAGTTGACATCAGATTTGACCAAATATGAATTCCACCTTATGACATGCATCAGAGAATACTGTGTTAAAATTTTAAGCATCTGTGATGAGTAATAGAAAGGCAAATTAGGTTTAGATATAAGGAGGATTGATTCTGAGTTTTTGAGCAGATTTTCGTCTGGACCTTTATTTCTAAAATTCTGCATATTTTTAAATTGTAACAATAAATTTGGATTTTAAATTGCAAATTTAATTACCGGTATATTCAATAAAAAAAAATCGTGATTAAATTCCATTAAAATACGAATAAGCTAGGAACAATATTTTCTGGCGGAATGGTTTTAGAAGAAAATAAGCAATTTTCCCCTTTTAACTATATACATTGCTGTTAATTTTCATTTCCTATTTTTCCATGTTTATGTTTAATGTTCATTTTCATTGCCATATAAAACGTTACCTAAATAAAAAAAAAATAAATTTTTGACTCTTATAGAAGAGTTTAATTCATTCATTTATTTTCAATTATTGGTGAAACAAGAATGCAACATCAGAATGCATTATAAAGCATTTTGTAAGTGCAAAAATTTGCATGTAGGGTGAGTTCATTATACCTCGGACACCCTCGTACTTGGTGATCGAAATGAAGCTTTCAATCAGATGTATCATGTGATTAAAATGCTAGTTTTGACACAGCTTCAGCTTATTATTCTAAAAATGCCATTCACGACCATGTTTTTTAATAAGCCAGAATTCACTATGGATTTGGCAATATTCATTAAGAATATTTAACCAGATAAATACACCTTCATTCTATCAAAGTGTTATGTCTCGAATGGTTCATGCTTATCTATATACTATAATCATGTTACATAGAATAATGTTTACATTTCCATTTATTTGTCTTAAACATTCCTTACAAATTACAATTTTGCTTCTTTTCTCATGAACTACCATGGATGAGCATGAATATCTCCATCGTTACGTCATATATGTGTAATACCGTACTTGACGTCAAAACTACAGTGCAAACTGTTGCGCTTTAAAAATGACAGTTGAATGGCGTAATTTGAGGTAACTCATCAGAAAGTTATGTTAATTTAAGAAATGAATTTAATATTTAAAGATGCATGAGGTAAATAAACTATGTTCAACGCTTTTATGATGAAGCGCTAACGCGCTTCATAAAATATGCCGGCATAAAGCGTCGTAGTTCATGTTCTCATAAATCTTCAAAAAATAAATTCATTTTTTAAGTGTTCTTATATACTATAATTATGTAATATCTTTATGCTTCCTGTAAGTCTTTCTCTATATAACCAATAACCATCTATTATCGCATAGTGTTCTATGGATTTATATAGCGTAAGCATACTATGCCGAAATAGTGCACGACTTCAATTTCTAAAGAAAATCCGACATCGCCCACGCCTGATACGGAACTCACGACTTTGAGATTGTAACTCCGACGTGCTACCGATTTGGAAACGGACGCCGCTATCTGAGAAAGCGTATTTAATATATAGAAACTTAGTTTCAAATATTTTTCTTTATTTAGAGGAAAAATAAACAAAAATAATTTTCTTAATAATTTCTTGCAAAAATTTTACCTTCAAATATGAAACATGTGGCAGATTCTGTTATGTCTTATATTTCAAGGTTACAGGGATATAAGATGCCTATGTTGCAACCACTATTGAAATAACGACCACTATTGAAATAATTATATCAATAGTGGTTAAGAGTGCATTTCAATAGGAAACATAGTCAGTAACTACTATTGAAATACGAGCACTATTGAAATAATTATATCAATAGTGGTTGAGAGTGCATTTCAATAGCAAACATAGTTAGTAACTACTATTGAAATACGAGCACTATTGAAATAATTATATCAGTCGTAGTTGAGAGTGCATTTCAATAGCAAACATAGTTAGTAACCACTATTGAAATACGACCACAACTGAAATTATTATATCAGTCGTAGTTGAGAGTGCATTTCAATAGCAAACATAGTTAGTAACCACTATTGAAATACGACCACTATTGAAATAATTCTATCAATAGTGGTTGAGGGTGTATTTCAATAACAAACATAGGTAATAACAGCTATTAAAAAAACGACCACTATTGAAATAATGATTTCAATTTCATTTCAATAACAAACATAGGTTGCAACCACTATTGAAATAATGTTCACTTTTGAAATGAAGATTTTAATATGGTTTTAGTTTTGAAGTACATGTATTATCAGCAACTATCAAAATAATTATCAAAATCACTTTTGAAATTATAATTTCAATAACTAACTAAATCTTCATTTAAGGACAGATGATACAAACAAAATATGGATGCCTGGCTTGGTATATATTTTTTTGTCTGATTTCATTGAAAATGATGCAAATAATAAATTTCTAGAATTTAAAGAAATAATTGTTAACCTTCTGTGATGTTCAACAATTTGCCTCACTAAAACCATCTTTATTTTTTTTTTATAGACTTTATATATAATTAATTATTAATCTATATATTTTTCACCCCCAATCCAATTTCTGCCAAATTTTGGATAAAAAATAAAACAATTACGCGGTGGAACTTTTCTTTCAATACTAGTCAGATTTCAATATTGGTTGAAACATATCGTAATCACATGAAAATGCATTCTTCACGACTATTAATTATAAAAGTATTATAATTATTATAATAGTAATTATAATTTATTGAAATAATTATTTCAATAGTGCTCGTATTTCAATAGTGTTTGAAACCTATGGTTATCATATTGAAATGTACTCTCACCCACCATTGAAGTAATTATTCCAATAGTGGTCGTATTTCAATAGTGGTTACTAACTATATTTGCTATTGAAATGCACTCTCAACTACGACTGATATAATTATTAAATTGTGGTCGTATTTCAATAGTGGTTACTAACTATGTTTGCTATTGAAATGCACTCTCAACCACTATTGATATAATTATTTCAATTGTGGTCGTATTTCAGTAGTAGTTACTGACTATGTTTCCTATTGAAATGCACTCTCAACCACTATTGATATAATTATTTCAATAGTGTTCGTATTTCAATAGTGGTTACTAACCATCTTTCCTATTGAAATGCACTCTCAACCACTATTGATATAATTATTTCAATAGTGGTCGTTATTTCAATAGTGGTTGCAACATGCCTATGTGACAAAAAGAACGAGTGCACTTAGGGACCCCGGTAAAATGTGAAAAAATAAACATTCAAATTAAGCAAAATTTTTCATCCCAAATCATTAATTGATATCTAAACCGTAAGATTCAACAAATTTTACCGCTGAAATTCACGTATATACAAAGAACAAAACTATAGAATGCGGCAGGGGTCAACCGACATTTGTGATTTTCTATAGTAAATCGAGAACGGTCATTCATTTCAAAGCTTTTGTTTACTATGAGCCTAACTTTGTACAAACTTGTGCGAATGACAAAAGACGCATAATACATTTATAAAACTTGTGTGATAGTACTAAATTTGTACACGATTAGGCTGGTAGTTAAAATATTAAAAATGTACAAAAAGTACAATGTTTTTCCTATAGCAAGTGAAAGGTATTTACCTGTATGACCCATGTTGAACCCACTTGTGGAATAAACTATTTAAAATACTGATAGTCACGTGAGTTCTACCCAGGTAAACATTCCTCAAAGGTGCTCACTGTAAAACATCGGGTTTTTTTTTATCATTTAGTCAAAGTCGCGCCCCTTAGAAATATCTCTATGTATCTATATTTAAGATTACGGTAGGGTAAAGAGAGTTTAGCGCCACTCATAAAAGTGTCAAACATTTTTAACATTTATGCAAGACAATGAAACAGGTATTGAAAGCCACCTAAACACTCCTTTTAGATTTCAAATTCATTTTATTGTATACATTTTTTCAAATGCAAGAGTACCGATTTCTTAGTTTGATTATTATGGCTACAGGCAACTACACAACTTCTTTCAATTTTTTAAAACAGATATAGCACAAAAAAGTTACATTCCCCAAACGCGCCCGACTATGATCCACTATCAGATTGTTCAAGATCTCTTCGCCTTGATTTACATAAACGAAACTAAAAGAAGGTTCAGTTCGACTTTTCCGGATTTTTAGGGTGTCCATATAGACATTTAAAAATAGTCAATTGTTTCAAATCCATGCTGATTTGGGTGATGATTATCGTGCTTTTTAATTAGAAATATATACTAGTATATAACTATTTCCAAAAGAGAATGATTTGGTTATATATTCTAAAGTAAAATGGCACATAAAAAGGGCCCATTAAGCATTGTTTAAGTGCACTTGTCCTTTGAGATTTACACACCAATAACTCACACAGGAGAAGAAGGTATGGTTTTAGCTTTATCGTGCCCTAAAAAAACCACGTTTTCAAAAAGTTTTGGATCTGGCTTAAATATTACTTGAGTTAATGAATTTGATAGTTCAGAAAAGAATATGGCATAAAGGAGTACCATTCCGGAAATATGACGTCATTAATTTGATGCTTTTCTCTACTTTAAACAGAAAAAAGCATGAAAATGGCCCATTTCAAAGGTAATTTTCCTTCATAAAATAGTGTCTCCCTTTTAACTTTTTGGATATGTTGTGCAAAATACAATGAGAAATGACATATCTCAAAATCTTTGTGGGTGATGCCTGTGGACAATGTTATTATAACGAAAAATCCATTGAAACTTTGTGTGTTCTGCAACTTTTTTTAGAAAAAACGATACAATGCACATGTTTATAACGTCAGAATAAGCATTTATAAATGCGTGTGAGAAAAATAATTTGAATGATTTTTCTATATGGAAAGTCAATGATTTAGAAAGCACAAGATTTCATGTTTTACTTTAGTTTCAATTTAAAGAAAACCATAGGTCCAGATTTGCATTGACAATATACCTTGTACTTTATAAACATTCCTTAAATATTTATCAATAATTTAAAAAAAAAAGGGGGGGGCTCAATAGTTGGAGCATTCAAGGAATCTGGAGTTTCCTGCATAATGTTATAAGCAATGCTATGACGTCAAAATCATACTGAAAGTCTACTAAAATTAAGACTACAATAATTGTGAAAAACACTTGCTGTGTATTTCATATCGACATTCAGATATACAGTGTATCAGCGATGTTTTATCAATTAACAATAGTTATTTTATTCCTATATCGACTCGATATACCCCAGTGAACATGAAATAAAATACACCACAAAGTCTGTCACATATTATCCGATTTGAATGTTTACTGACTGTAGATGATTAAGGCCAATTAACATCTAACATGTATGACACAGGAGATAATTCATGTATTGATATTCTAATCTCATCTGCTTGTGAAGTTTATGTCTCCAAACTATAATTAGCTTCTTGAAAGCATGCTTTAAGTAAAATCAATTATAAAGCAAGGCTTGCTAATCACTGATAATTTGGTGAAATAGGAATACAGATAAAATATGCTGACAGTAATGTATGCATTTTAACAATGTTTATGTATATTTCTATAAACCATTGAAATTTTAAACACACATTTAAAGGAATAAGTAGAGTAGCAAACTAAGGAGTTGATCTTAACGTCGGGAGTTCAAATCCCAACTGTGGGACATGGAGACCGGTTTTCGGATGAGACCGTATAAACCGAGGTCCCGTGTCGCAGTAGGTGCTGGCACGACAAAAATCCCTCTCTGCTCAATGTGCCCTAAGTGCCAAGGATAGGTCAAAATTTGCAGCACTTTCTGATTGAACGAGGACATGAAATCCGTGTATCATCAGATTATCTGACAGAAACCAGCCTCGATTTAGGACAGTGATTGTGTACTCAGAACAAGCTCTTAAGTATCGAATAATTTGGAATACATAAACAACACATACACTTAACAGAAGAAAATCACTAAACAGATAAAAAAAAAAGTTAATCATAGGAAAGTCATATAGTTTAATTGTTGGTTGTTGGTCATTAAATATCCGAATGAAATATATGTGGCAGATTCTGTTATGTTTAGGTTACTAGTATATAATGTATGACAAAACTGTGCGATTTACACTCACACAGAATGTAGAAACATTCCTTAAATATTTATGAATGATTTTTAAAAAAAAAGCTCAATGGGCGAAGCATTCAAGGAATCTCGAGTTTTTTTGCGTAATGTTGTAAGCAATGTAACTATGGCGTCAAAACATTCGATGTCAAACAATGTCAAAATTATACTGGAAGTCTACTAAAATGAAGTCTGCGATAATTGTGAAAAACACGTGCTGTGGATTTCAGTTCAACACGCAGATACTGTAGATTCATATCCGCGTGATATTAATTTACGCTATGAACACGGTCACAAAATTTCCGCGGAAATTTGTCCCATTTCACTTAATACACATAAAAGGCTTATAATATCCTCCTAACTTTCAATCAGCCGATTGAACAGAAATAGAGATACTGCGGAATAATTGACCCCGTGGGAAAAATAACGTTTACAGTATATCGACGATGTTTTATCACATAACAATAGTTATTTTTATTTCTATGTTGACTCTTTATACCCCAGTGAACTTGAAATAAAATACCCCACAGAGTGTGACACATATTTTCAGATTTGAATTTTTACTAACTGAACACGATAAAGGCCAATTAACATCTAACATGTATGACACACGAAATAATTCATGTATAAATATTGAAATCTCACCTACTCATGAAGTTTATGTCTCCAAATTGATTCGCTTTTTATTAGCATGTTCTGAGCACTATCAATTTTAAAGCAAGGTTGGGTAATCACTGATAAGCTGCTGATATAGGAATACTAGGAACACAGAAAAATATTCGGACAGAAATGAAATCAATTTAACAATGTTTACATATATTTGTAAGAAACATTGAGATTTCATACACACATTAAAAGGAATAAGTTATAAAGTAGACAGATTTTCAAAATCTAAACTTACCGATCCAGTAGTTTTTAGAGGGATCCCCAAATCCTTGCTTATATTCTGACCACGTCCTGTAAAAATCTGTAGACCCGTCCTGTCTTCGTTGAATAGCCTGAAACATTTAAGTTTGTTGTCTCTTTAATTCTCTTTAACATGAAATATATGTTGGTTTCAAGTAATAAACGTATGCATGTGTTTCAAGATATGTCTCTTTACAGTTCTAAAGAAATGAGATTTTGTCTGTAGAACACGTGACTGATTATCTCACCGTCCATCCTCCCCCTTCCGTTGTCATGTCACAGTACACAAACTTTGGCTTGGAGGCTATTGTTATTTCAAAAACCCCATCAATTCCTTGTAGACTCGGAAATTTCCGTAAAATATCCAAGCAATCGCTGTAGTTGCCTGTTATGTCTAATTAAAAAAAACACACAATGCATAGCAACTCAACATCGAACAATGTAATATATCTACATTCAGTGTAATTTTCTTTATTAAAATCATTAGAAATCCACGACGTTCAAATTTCTATAACACAAGGAAAACCTTGTCACAGCGCGGTATTATACACAGGAGGAACTTCTTGTATATTCAGTATTTAAGAATACCAAGATGTATATTGTTTTGACTCAATTTCATTAAAAAAAACTACCCTTGTAAAATTGACTCTAAAATTAACATAAAATACGGCTAAAGTGCATTAAAAACTAATTTGTCATTTTATTTCCTCGCAATGTTTATTTGTGTTATTTAACTTTCCAACGTCACAAACTGCTTTACGACGTCACGAACGGCTATTACGTTTGTCAGGCACAAATTATCATACCGCGCTAACGCGCGGTATTCAATTTGTCGGCACTGCCAGGTGTGTTATAGGACCGAAGACATCCAAAAATATGAATTCAATGCTTAAATGACGTCTAAACAACATACAAACTGAGTGGCAACTTCATGCAAATAAACGATTACGTTAAAATCGTGGAAAATTGTATATTAAAGACTAAGCCGAAATTCATAAGGTTCATAAATCATCTGCTCACTCATATAAAATGTTTCTTTAACTTTAAAATGTGCACAGGATCGGATCCTACGGCGCACGATAAAAAAAAACCATGGTTTCAATAGAGAATATACACGAGTATTAAAATATTAAATGGAAATGATTGAAATAAAAATCATCATATGTTTAATCTACAATGTTTTGTTTCGTCTTTTTGAAAATGGCAAGGCATTTGCTTAATTTTGGGGAGTTTCTCGAACATTCAAAATGGGAAAGTGATAAACAGAACACACGAAAATGGCGACGTTTTATGCCGTTACGGCGCGTTGGAGAGAGGTTCAGTTTAATTCAGATGTAATTATGACGCTCTAAGTAACTTTGAATATTTACATTTGCCAATGTCTTTCCTTATATGACAATACTAAAAAAATGAAATTCAATTTTCAATGACATTGCATTCCATAACAAAGTCTAAATGGAGCATTTTGTCTTTGTAATGTGAATAGAAATAAAAATATGAATATAAGAAATTATTCGTGTGTTCCTTTTATCATTTTCCCCAATTTGAATGTTCGGAAAAATGCCAAAAATGAAGCAAATGCCCTGAAACTTACAAAAAAAGAAAGAAAAGATATTAAAAAAAATACTCGTCTATTCTCAATTGAAAACTTGGCCGTGCGCCGTAGGCAGCACCCTGTGCGCACCCAAGCGTGATAAAATCTATATTTTGGTAGTAACGAAAGATTTCATACCTGACCGTTTATAAAATCATCTATTTAGCTGAATGACAGTGAAAATATGTCCGTCCGTCTGTTACGCTTTAGAAGGCCAATGTGATCCGCACCTTCTTTACCACTCAACGCAATTTGTTGAGATTTTCACAGAATCTTCATAACAGATTGTGCAACAATGTGGGGATTCTGGGATTTGTTAGTTTATTATGGTCACTATTTTTACTATCCTTGCTTGTCGTAAAAGGCGCTATTACCAATGTTTGCGGTCCTTTGTTCTACCCTGCACTCGTTCAAAAACAATTTTTCTAAGAAAACTCTCACTTCTATAGTATACTAAGGATCTGTTTATATAAATTTTTGTATGTGTTTTCTTCTGTAAAGGCCGTTATTGCCGTGCATAGGCCTAAATTTGCAGCCCTTCACCGGCAATGGTGACGTCTCCATATTTAGTGAAATATTTTTTAGACTTTCTCATTTAAAATGCTCAGTAAACAATCAATCAATCAATCAAAATATTTATGAATTAAAAATTTTATAATTTTTACTTGAATATATATCACATCTATTTCATATTTTTATTTCGAAATAATAATCATGTTTTTCATTATATTCATATGAGCGGCAGGGGTATCATTTAGTGAGCTCAGTGCTCAAGGTACCTCTAGTTTATTTGAAAAGAATAGAATGCGCTTAAACTATATATGATAAATAAGCATTTGCTGAAAATTGCAGCGTAGTGCATTTATTATATTTAAAGAAAACGTTTTGTCCACGGTTTTACTTGACTACTCTCTTACGTACATAAATTCTCGAGAGGGACGTTAAATAATATACAATCAATCAATCTTTCGTACATACACATACTTTTTTTATGCAGCGTACTTACCAGGCACCTTAGAAATTTCTGTCCATTGTAAACTTGATTTATTCAGAACCCCAAGAGCAGTTTCCAGTGTTTTAGCCAGAAGATAGACATCATTTTTTGCTCTGAATTCCTGTTGTAAAGTCTCATTCATCCTACTCAATTCTTTTTTAATTATTTCATTCTCTGCTTCAATTCCCTGTTCCTTCCTTTCCAAATGGTGTATCCTCTGCACCATAGATAAGCGTTCCAGTGATTCCCGTTTCAGTATGTCTCGTAACATATTTGGTACTTTTCCTGTTACAGTACTAAGTAACAGACCATTTTTATCTGAGGTATTGTTTTGAAGCAGAGATGTCTGCCCATAAGATTTGTTAATAAACATGGAAAATACGAAACATAGTGATATTACAGCTTCCATGTCTATAGCAGTAACCTTTCTTTCGAATGAAAAGCTGTTTTATTCGGTTTCTTACGATAACCACTCATT